TGTGTGGGTACATTACCTCACATTTTACGTTCTAGTTATGCCCGTCACATGATCTACTTTTATTTTATCATAGTTGCAAAGCAAAATTGCATTGTTACATACATCAAACTGAATTAATTTCTTAACGGCTGTGAAACTTACTAATGTTATTTTACTATTTGTTCATAGATGCTACCATGTGTGCATGTCTGTGTGTGTGAGAGAGATAATAATATGTATCTATTTACATGTATATAAACTTTCATTCAGTGTACCCCTTAATATCTCACTAAGGAATGAAAGGCAATTATAGTATGTCTCTCTACTCCTTGTAATAACACAATGATGATTTTTGAAACTTCTTTGTGTAGGTAGCCCAGTATTGTGAAGCTTCTGAATGGAGGTAGCCCAGTATGGTTCAGCTTCTGAGGATAGATACCCCAATACACTTACTGGAGAAGCTTATAATATAAGATCGTTTGACTGAGAAGTCAGTTTTTCCAAACAAGCTTCGTTATAGCTTTGAATTACACAGTGTGGAAGAACACATCAGACTTACATAAAATCAAATTGGCTTCAGACTTATGTAGAGTGAAATTATCCTGTTTATGAGAACATATTTCTAGACCACATTGTCAGAATAAGTTCATACAGTGAAGGTTAAAACTCCAATTCCAAATTATATTTAGTGATTGATAGTAGTATTAGGCTCATTATGCTTTAAATAGTGATAGTCAACTCTTTCTTATTATGGAAATTTGAACTTTTACTTTTTCCCCTAACACTTGAATTTTATCATTAAATTTTTAAAACATTATTGCTCTGTTATAATTAGAAACATCTTATATTGAAAATAAATTATGCCATAGTTTTTTTAGAGCTACAAATGGCTTCTGTTTAATAGTTAAGATTTAAAGACTGTTTTATTTAATTTCTTGCTTTTTAATATAGAATTTAAGATTACCTTTAGACACAGATGTCAGAAATGAGTTATGATGGGAATATTTTGGTGGTGGTGTTGTGAATGGGCTTCCATTTTCCGTGAAATTAGTGAATGATATGTATATTGAAACGTGCTGCGTTTTACTAATTTACTGTATAAGGACAACAATGGGACACAAATTTACAGGTGACAAATATGATTTCTTACAGCATTGATATAAAAAACCCATATTGTAACTTTATCAGGTTTTTTTTTTTTTTTGGTCCCAGTTACAGCAAAAATAAACCTTTCTCCAGTGTTTGCATCCAGTATACTCTCTTGGGAGAGCAGACCCTGATGAGTATATTTTAATCTGACAGTGGTTTTGTTTGATTGTTTGCTTTGTTTTGCTTATCAAGACAGGGTCTCTTTGTGTAACAGCCTTACCTGTCCTGGAAATCTCTCTGTAGATCAGGCTGGCCTCAAACTCAAAGATATCCACCTGCCTCAGCCTCCCTGAGTGCTGGGATTAAAGACATGTGTCATCATTGCCTGGCCTGACAGAGGATTTTTTTTTAATGACATTTTATCCATATCCCTTGTTGGGTTTGGATATCCTCATTTAAATGTCTTCTCACTAAGAAAAAAATACTCTGATGTTTAAAATCAAACCATATTTTTTATAATTCTGTCCTATTTTAATATTTGAGAGGTCTATACTTTTATGCTAAAAATATGCACATGCAGAAATATATTTCTTGAGTTCTGCAGAGAATCTCTGGAAAACTTTATGCTTGTTAAATATGCCTTACCAAACAGTAACTATTTCATGAATAAAATGGAAAGCCAGGATATTTGCCAATACACCAGCAGTATAGGACTAAGATCCTGGGTAACAGGGAACAAGCCTTGCAGAAATTTGGGCATAAGAGTTCCTAACAGAGTGTATTTTTTGTCAGACTTGGAATGTTTGATATACATAGTGAGGTATCTTGGCAAGAGATCTGAGGTCCAAACAGACATAACTCTATATAGTATTTCCAACATGTGACCTGTTGGCTGCATACTGTCTTGTATTGTTGTTGTGAAGTATTCTGCTTGTGGTTTTACATCAGTCCTAAAATCAGTTTAGATACTAGAAAATTTTTGATTTTTGGTTTTCAGAATAAAGAACATTTAAACTCAGTGAGAAAAGTTTGACAACCTGATAGGAATATGGGCAAATAATGTTAATAAACCTTTTCAGAAAGACCATTTAAATTTATAGCAATGAACTTCACTCATAATTTTAAATAAAGGTAAAAATACAAGACTTCACACTGATCATTCTATGTGAATATCTGTATATTTAATAACAACAAAGAATGGACGATCATGAATCTCTGCTGATAGTCTAGATATGAAATTTATTTTTCATTTTAAATGTATTCAGATAGACTTCTAAATGCGAGCATATGATCATGATTTCTGTAGAGACAGACTGGGGGATTCTGCAAATTTGCTAAAAATGACTTAATTTTCACATTTGATCCTTCATATTGTTTTGTCTTTCTTCACAATGGCATGAAGTCTATAACATTTAAAACAGGGCTGGAGAAATGGGACACAGAGTGATTTTAGTAAAACTCATGCGTTAATACTGCGTGAACATCTCTTGTATATCACAAGGCCTGTGGGCATGCTGGGGACAGAGTCTTGAGTAGAATGTTTTCTAGTCTCGAAAACCAATAGGATCATATCACTTTCTAAGTTAATAGATTCCATATGAATGGTTTTCACTTTGTGGATTACAGAACAGTTTATATGGTTTAAGTTAATTAATCTTCTCCAAATCCTACAAAGTAATCATAGCACCGTATTGCCTAAAGAAAAAGAGAACATCCCATGTTCCTCTTTTTGGGTCTGGCTTACCTCACTCAGGATGGTGTTTTCTATTTCCATCCATTTGCCTGCAAACTTCAAGAAGTCCTTGTTTTTTACTGCTGAGTAGTACTCTAATATGTATATATTCCATACTTTCTTCATCCATTCTTCAATTGAAGGGCATCTAGGTTGTTTCCAGGTTCTGGTGGGATGTTCTCACTCATATTTGGTTTCTAGCCATAAATAAAGGACATTGAACCTATAATTCGGGTTCTTAGAGAAGCTAAATAAGAAGGAGAACCCAAAGAAAATCATGTAGGCATCCTCCTGAATATTAACCTTCCTTCATCAGGCGATGAAAGGAGACAGAGACAGAGACCCACATTGGAGCACCGGACTGAAATCTCAAGGTCCAAATCAGGAGCAGAAGGAGAGAGAGCACAAGCAAGGAACTCAGGACCGCGAGGGGTGCACCCATACACTGAGACAAGGGGGATGTTCTATCAGGAACTCACCAAGGCCAGCTGGCCTGGGTCTGAAAAAGCCTGGGTCAAAACTGGTCTCGCTGAACATAGNCAAGAACAATGGCAATGGGTTTTTGATTCTACTGGACCTATTGGTTTCGTGGGAGCCTAGGCAGTTTCGTGGATGCTCACCTTACTAGACCTGGATGGAGGTGGGTGGTCCTTGGACTTCCCACAGGGCAGAGAACCATGATTGCTTTTTGGGCTGACGAGGGAGGGGGATTTGATTGGGGGAGGGGGAGGGAAAGGGGAGGCGGCGGTGGGGAAGAGACAGAAATCTTTAATAAATAAATAAATAAATTAAAAAAAAAGAAAAAGAGAAGCATGCTTACTCATTAAATGAGTTTTCTCATTTAAAGCTCAGAGCAACCCTACAGAGTGGGGACATTGCCATCTCCATTTTATGGAGGACAGGGAAAATGCTAAGCTCTTTAAGATGCCTAACAACTTAAGAATGTAAGTCTCTCCACTCTCACCAAATGGTTCTGGCTGAACCTTAGTCAGCAATTTGAGTTTTTTCCCCTTTTCAAGTGCACGATGTAAGATTCATAGGTTAAATAATTAGTTTAGGATTATGCCAACGGCAGTATGCAGTTCACTGCCTCTGATTAGAGAAGAGAGCTCTGCAGAGAAGGACAGAGAAAGTCCTTGTGATGGCACACAGTCCTGATAAGCACTAGCCATGAATCCAGGGTTCATAACTTCGCCAGGCAAACAGCTGCAGTAAAAAGAGCATGCTTGCCTCTCTGAACTCATTTCCTCTATCCAGATAGTAACCAACTTACTTGTGATATCAAATCGATTCTTGAGTTCTGAGAAACTTTGAAGACCGTGGGACAAAAACCTGATGCTAATTTAAAGCCTGCCTCTACTTTGTCAAAGGAGTGAGCCATTTAGATCAAGGGCTGTGCACAACTTTTCTGCGGGATGATCCAAAACCAGCAGACAGAAGGCCTTACACGTCTTAACAGTCACAAGTGTGTACATGCATGCCGTGCCATTCCTGTCACTCGCTGCTTTTTGGTTTGCAGACATCAGTGTTCGAGCACTTTGGTTTGTAGTCTAGTATGTTCCATAGAGGCCTCTTTTTGCTGCATGTAGGGAACAAAAGCAAGATAATTTAAGATGGCAAGGTTTATGCGCCTTACCTCACATTGACACAACACTCAACTGAATGTTTGTGTTTAGTCTGACTTGGGGACATTGGCCTCGACACTGTGCCTTCCCTGTGTGGCAGACATTTGTGGGATTAAGAGCTCGAGTTGTTTCTCTTGTGTGTGCAGAAGCAGGTCGACACACGTATGCTGATGTGAAGCAGGCAATGTGACATGAACAGGATTGTTAAACCAGGAGGAGGCGTGGCTTAGTGGGTTAAGCAATACTTAACTTTGAGTTTTCCACACAATGCTCTTCGTTCTCAATAACTTTAGTGATGAACTTTAAAAAAAAAAAATACAAGAACTCGCTAATGGCAAGAATTAGTCAACGCAGCATAGCTGAGTGAAATAAATAGGTGTTTGCGGAAGTGAGGGGTCCTTTGCTCACCCAGAGGGCTCTGGAGCCGTGTTCCCTCTCACCAGAGCCTGGCTCGCAGGAAGAGCAGGAGATGACTTAGTATATCCTTCCCGTTCATCCCGTAGAGTGACAGCGGGCAGGAAAGAAACGGAGGTGGCAGCACCTAACCAATGTCTTAAATTCCTTTTAACTTGCAGCAAATTCCGTAAAGCTAGAAATGCAGAGTGATGAAGAGTGTGACAGGAAACCCCTGAGCCGCGAAGATGAGATCAGGGGCCATGATGAGGGGAGCAGCCTAGAAGAACCCCTAATTGAGAGCAGCGACGTGGCTGACAACAGGAAAGTCCAGGATCTCCAAGGCGAGGGAGGAATCCGGCTTCCGAATGGTAAACTGAAATGTGACGTCTGTGGCATGGTTTGCATTGGGCCCAATGTGCTTATGGTACATAAAAGGAGTCACACTGGTAAGCAGCTGAACGAATAACCTGATGACTGCCCGTGCATCTGATGTTGATATTACCTGACGTCTACTCTTTCCTTTTCATTCAGGGGTGGCAATGTGAAGTTACCTTTTCAGAATTCTGCTAGTATTGGATTGCTGGGAAGCAGAAAGTAGCCTGGGTCTTGACTTCCAGTCTTCAAATCTGAATAGCATGTCAGAAAAGAAGTTTGGGAATCAGTTTCCACAGTTCTTAATATAGCAATAATATGATAAGGGTTCAAAAGGTATAGGAGAATTTCATTGAGTAATTTAATCTTTTTATATTTGTATACGTACTTTACCATACCCATTGGGCAGGTAATATAGTTTGCATCCTAGGACCTTATACTATAAAATAGCATTCACACATTTATATAAGGATGGGCCATTTTCATTTTGGATAACTCTGTTAAGTATTATTTCTGGTCAGTCTTTGCCTATCAAAGATTTCTGCAACAGGGGTTATTTCTTTAGTTCAAGGAGGTTACTATCCTCATGCAATTTTTAGTTTTATCTCTGTAAAAAGATGGTTAGGGTGGGTATGTAGGTAGAAATATTGAATTGTGGGATGAGGTGAGGAAAATGCCTGTGGATAATTTAATATATGCTTCTAGGCATTGAGAGCTACATACAAGTACTTCATAAAAACAGGCCAGATGAGGAGGGGAGAGTCTTATATAAATCTTCTCAAAGCTTTTGATTGAGGGAAGTAGGAAAAAAATGACAAGAGGCAAGGAAGGGAAGAGTGGGTAAACGCAACACAATGAGGAGGTGTCTGTGTGTTTAAATGGATAACAGTTAATCTTGTATGACATTTCAAGTTGAGCAGTGCATGGTGGCGTGCACCTGTGATACCAGTGTTCGCAGTTAGAGGCAGGTGGAACACAATTTCGAGATAATCCTAACACATAAAGTTTGAGGCCAGCCTGTGCTACATGAGACTGTACCCAAACCAAACAACAACAAAATTTTTCAAGATAGGATTAGTGGCACACACCTTAGCCCCAGCACTTGGGAGACAGAGGCAGGAGGATCTCTGTGAATTCAAAACCAACCTGGTGGTGTACATATTTAATTTCAGGATAGTCAGGGCTGTATAGTGAGATCCTTTCTAAAAAAGAAAGAAAAAATAAAGGAATGTATCGTTCAATAAAATATGGTGGTATTCTTTAGTAAAATATTAATAATTAATATTCTCAGTTGTAAACTGTGATAGTCTTTGGAGAGAATGAGAAATCACAGGAAAGAAATTTATTTTAAAGTTTTAATTCTAAATCATCAGTTTAAAAATTTTATCCTAAAAAATATGCTGTAATTACATACTGAAACATTTTTAGTTTAGATCTCTCATGACACACATTTGAGGAAAGTCAAGTTGTCTGACTTGTGTCCCTTACCTAGAAAAATATCACCAGCGAGACTGGAACCATGGTACTGTGATTTCTAGGCTAGTGTAGTGTGAGCACACACGCTTGGACTATCACTACACCAACAACTTATTATGAAGTGTCCCTAGAAACTAACTAAAAACTGGCCCAGTAGAATTTTCACATTCAGATGAATGTAATCATATCATCACCTTCCCATCTATTGATTCTCTATCATAACTAGTATTTTTGCTTTGTTATGAATATTTTTAAAAACAACATTATGTTTAAAATGTTTATGTCACTAATGAATTTTTCCTTTAATATTTTAAAAGTCTTGGGGAAAGTTAAGATATACCAAACTTTGGTTTCTCTTCAATAAGAAAGTAAAGGACAAGACTATAAAATTAATCTACTTTTATTCCATGCCTAGGAAATAATACTGGTTTGGAAAAGGAGTCTACAAAACTCCACATTTATTATGTTATGTTAGAGTGAGTATTCTGTAGAACATAACACCCATTTAATTTTCCTTTGCAATATTAAAATAGTTCAGTTACTTTGTAGTATTTGAATTTTACTTACTGATATATTTAAGACTGAAGTCTATACTAAGTACTAGTTTGGGAAGATCTTTAATAAATCTTTTGTGTTCTTATTTAAGAGAATTCAAAGAACACAAGAACTGTTTTTTTTTGAAGATGAAGTTTTAATTTGTATTTTATTGTATCTGTTGTGAAATTCACTGATTTTTTTTTCAAAATAAAATAGTTAAACACATACTCCACTTTCCATTCCATATTTGTTACAAAAGTGGAATAGAATTATTTGAACACTGAAAAAGATGTAACTTGTATAGGACTTGATTGTAAATTATTCCACAGATTTGTACAGGTCCTAGAATATGAGGCTCACTAATAAGGACATGGATAAAATTACTAAGCAACCATTTGAAGTTCACTCAAGAGCACAAACTCCTTTGCCTTACTGACCTATTTTGAACACTAGAATTCCTTCTTCAGATTTGGGAGACTTTTGTTAATTTCAATAGATAGTCATAAAGAAACTTAGACTGCTGGGATGCTCTGTTAGAGCTGTCATCGTAAAATAGACCCTAACTGTATATTTCTGAGGACTGAGTTGATCCCAATTGATCGTCATGTTCTCACTTCTACCGTAATACTGTTTGGTGAGTTTCTTTAAACTAATTGTAGAACTGTATAGTCAGAATCTAGTCTTTAACCAAGTGTATTAGGAAATACTGTCTTCATTTTAGTGCTGCCCACCTTTAAAACATTTCATGTGTAGCTAAACAAAAGCCACTATCTTAAATCCTTGGTGATGCCCTTAAGAAGCTCATAAATTATCTAATATACAATTGACAGTGAATAGAAAGTATAAAACCACCGATTTTTTTTCCAGTTACATGGGATCTCAGGTCTAATGCATCTTTCTTCTATCTCTCCTGTACTCTACTGAAGTGCCAGTGCCAGTGTCTTTAATCGCATGCTGTTACTTCTCTGGCATTGTTACTTTAATAAATAATCAGGTAATATTTTCATCAGATACTCCAGGCACTCTTCACTGGGAATGTAGGGTATAGAAAAATAAATAAGTAAGCAAGTCAATAAATAAATGAATAAATCAGGGTAGTGACTTAGTTCACACATGGATATGAATGTGTGATGAAATTTTAAATACAGACAATCCTTAAGTTTGATCCTTTTTGGAATATAGCTCTCCTATCTTTGCAAACTATGGCGTTTTCTCTTGACTCTTATGTTCCAAGGCTCTGTTCTGTTCAGTCGACAGTAAATCGGTAGGCTGGCATTAAAGACCAATACCAGCTTAGCATGAAGGAGCACACATGTGATGCATGGATACAAAGCAGGAAAGAGCAGGGGTTTGAGACCAGTCTCTCTTACAGAACAAGTTCAAGGCCAGCTGAGCTTCACAACACCTTACATCTAAAAGTCATGACACACAAGCACTCATAATCAACTTTAAAAAAAAAAAAAGATGCGTACTGTGACATCTCAGTTAGTTTTCTTTACTGTTAGTCCAGTCTTCTGTAGCCACCAATGGGAAGATCAGTTGTCACCAATACAATAACCTGCTTTGGTTTTGAACCAGATTGTTCTGTAATATTAGCGCTGGGAGCAAGGAATCTGTTGGGATTTTAAAACTTTTGTTTCCATTTGTATATGAAGAATATAATACTTTATATAAAATATAAACTGACTCAAAAAGAACCAACTGACTCTCCATTTGGTTTATAGAACAAATTAAAATAATTATGCATTGTTTAAAGCCCTTATGACAATATATCATTGTTTTGCATTTATATAGAGAAAAAGTAGGTAATTTTTTTACCTAAATTTAAGATAATTCTACCTGTATTTCCATAATGTTTAGCCTGGGGCATATCCTACAGTATCGAATATCAGGATTCCTAACATTTTATAGAATTTTTTAAATTATTTGATTAATTTTTATTAATTAACTATGAAGATAGATAGATAGATGATAGATAGATAGATAGATAGAGATGTAGTGTATTAAGTAGTCCTAATCTTTAATTAAAAGAAGAGTTAATCTGCTTTATCCTCTGCTCTAATCGTGGTGTTGTTGAGAGTATCACTCTAATTATAAGTTCAGTGTTGAAAACAGTAACACAACTGTGTTGTCAGAGTGTTAGCCAGTTCTCTTTAGTCCAGCTCCTAAGCATTGTTAAACAGATTCCATCCTAAAATGAGTAAAGCCTGGAGCTGGCAGCCAAAGAGTAGAGAGCAGCGCTGGGGAAGTAATACTAATTCACGCCAGTGTTTCTCTGAGTTTAGCTGTTGAAATCACAGTAGCCTGCTGCTAGAGCCTGTTCTGTTTTCAGAGGGAGCTCCAGGTTAAAGCACACCTTGCCTGGTTCTTTACATCTCATGCCTATGGACGCAGAGTCCTCCTTACCCACACAGCAACAGAGCCATATACCAGATGTCCATGGAGTTCCTGTCATTTCATCCCCTCTCTGTGGTGTTCTTAGTAAAAGTTTCAAAGATATCTGGGGCGTTTGTAACTACTAACTCTGTTACTCCTTCATTAGTCTCAAAACTTGACTATATTACCCTAGCCAAAGATTAAAATTTTTGAAATTTGTTCCTCTGTAGTATTATTTTCTTTTCAGACTAGCCTTATTTTAAATAGTGAATTAATTACTTTAATGTAGGGATTAAAACCATCAATTGAAATATTAGAAATGATTTGAAGACAGTGTCAATCTGCTTGCTGCAAAAGCAAACACAAATCTAAATTTTTAACAGACCTATTATTTAATTTCCTTTTAAAGTTATTGTGTCCCAATTTGTCACTTTACTAGGAAAAGCTTACACACAGAGTCCAAGAGTAAAATCGAACAGTTGAAGTAAAAAGTATATTTTATATTTGCTGTTTTATTCATTCACAAAGCCCTCTCAACATGTCATGTCCATGTCAGGGTGGAAGGCAGATAATTATGATTTTAAAAAAATTGCACTGTGTTATTTCCTTGGAGAAAAAAAATCAAAGAATCAAAGCTAAGTTGCATATGTGTATAAAATTTAAAAAGATCTTAAAAACTTAGGTTTAAAAGCCCATCATTGCAGCACCCACCCAAGAACATGCACTTGGACACTCTAAGGCAAGAAAACCGTGTGTTTGCTTGGTCTACACAGCAAGATCCCTCTCAAAAAACAAGACAGAATATTTTATCAGAATTAGATTTTTGAGACGGGATATTACTTTGTAGATCAGGCTGGCCTTGAACTCACAGAGATCCCTGTCTCTGCCTCCCGAGTGCTAGGATTAAAGGTGTGTGCCACCACTGCCAGCCAGAATTAGATTTCAGAACTAAATGATAAGTCTTCTTTGAGAAATTTAGGTTTCAACAGATGAAACTGGTTAAATAAAATTCAACCTGAGCTAACTTTAATATGCTGAGTTTTTAGCATAATGCCTTTTTCAGGACCTTTTGTAAGTTGCAACCCCATGTCTAAAAGAGTAAACCACCACATACAAGTCTTTTGGTGTGTACATCATTAACTTTCCAGAGGAATGCATGCTGTAGAATTCACTCTGCTTGACCTTATTTGGTTTTAAAATCTTTAGGTTTTGTAACAAAACTGTGAATATACAGAATATACAGGGGTGGCTGCCAGAAGCGACGAAAGCTTATCTGGTTATTGCCTCCTAGCTTTCTTTAAAAGAGAAACCCTTGGTTTGCACTGTGTAATGGGCCAAATATTTTCCGAGGTTCACTTCACTATTAATATAAATACTCTAGCTAAAGATACATGAGCCTGGCAATTCAGTGTACAAATTATGAAAGCTATGGAAATCATACCTGTCACGTGACAGATACAGAAAAGGCCCTGACAACTGTAAGGAAGTGTTTCATTTGGTTCTCTCTAAACTCTGAGCTTCCAGGTGAGCTTTTTCACCGTATTTTTTATATGTCAGCTTATCACTTATTTCAACTGTGCTTAGACACAGGCAAATGAGAAGTCAGAGTATTTTCCTCACAGTTTGGTAATACTATATCCTTTTGATCTTGCCAGTGTGGATTTTGTTGCCTGTATGAATTTTTGTTACCTCTGATGCCATTGGTGGCTGCCAGTTGAGCGTAATACACAAAACTGATAATGAAGACTTGTGTAACTTTTTGACAGTTTCACTGTAGAGAACCATGAAAAAGGATTCCTGCTAAACAAATGTTTTCTCACAAAACAGCATGCAGAAAATATCTGGAAATATAATGTTCTCTCAGGCATCCTGGGGATTTTTGCCACAGGTTTCATTGTTAATGGCCAAGAGAACAGGAGTGCTTCTCTATCAAGAGATTTCCTCTGTGCACACTGAAGGTTTCTTTGTTGTTTAAGCCTGTTTTGCTTCTGATCTCAGTGTCAGTATTATCAGATACATTGCCATTGTTGACTTCTGGTTCTTCATTCCTATATTTAAATTGATGCTTCCTAAGTATTAATGGGATTGTGAGGCTTAGAGTAGTCTATGACAGGCAATGGTCAGTTGGTTGGGGAGAGCTAGCTGTTCAGTCATTGGTGGACACTGTTATTGCTCCTCTCAACCAGCGACAGAAATCTTTATATGAAATGAGGAAATAAATGTCTACTTCACCTAGCAGAAAGGAAAGATTTAGTATATATGGAAGATGTTCATTGTGAGCCTAGGGAATTGTCTCTGGTTAGCTGTGTATGGCATACTATTCCCTCCAGATAACCTGCTTGGTCTTTCCCACTCTGTCTTCAGGTGAGCGCCCCTTCCACTGTAACCAGTGAGGAGCGTCTTTCACGCAGAAGGGCAACCTTCTGAGACACATAAAGCTACACTCTGGAGAAAAGCCGTTCAAATGCCCTTTCTGTAGCTATGCTTGTAGAAGAAGGGACGCCCTCACAGGACACCTCAGGACCCACTCTGGTAAGTGTCACCAAGTCAAAGCTGAAGTCAATAAGGTGTTACAGCAGTATACCAAGCAGCATGTAGCTTTGGCCTAGAGAATCCTGTACGTTATTGGTGGCATTTGTAGGATGCACATGAGTATTCAAAGATCAACAGACATGGAAAAAGAACACTGCTACTAAAGAGTGTCTCACAGCTAGAACATAAAGTTTCAGGTTTTGTGATTATCAAAGCAGTAATCATGCTTAATACTGGGTTATTGGAGCCCAGTGAAATGTTACACTTTCTGATGCATGAAAGTTGTAAGTTTCTTAACAGTCCAGTAGAACTCGGGCTTAGAACGCAGTGAGGAAATCAAATACTGTTCTTTTTAAACTTGAAAGCACTGTACTCATTAGAAAATTGACTGTTGGGGGAATTTATATTTCATTTAACTTGGCTTATTTTGCTAGCTTTCCAACTGTACTTATTGGGAAAGAGCTGAGCATTTTATCTGCCTCATAAATGATTTAATGATCTAGAGTGTTTGATGTGCTAAGAAAATACTAGCATAGCAATACATAAATGAGGAAGAATAACCAGAAATCTGAATGACTCTCTCTGATTCGAGCATGAACTGCTATTGCTGAGGAGTTAAGGGTAGAATATTATAAGAAGATACTTTCAGAGCATTTGGATATGCCTTGTTTATCATGGCATGTTAAGTTTTCGTGTCAATGTGGAGATCTGAGAAAGCGCCATGCTCATGAACATTGAAAGACTGTAATCCAGACAACTGTGGCATGTGACGGGATGCATGCGCACATTAGCCTTCTTTACACTCTCTTGATATCCTTAAGGCTGAACTTCACTTTCTAATATGCTATGTATTATAGAAAGCAATTTTCAACATTGACTATTAAATTTGGGACAATTATAAAAGTTAAATTAACATGCATATGAAAACAAAATATTCTAAGACAATATTTACTTTCCTTACTCAGAAATAACTCATTTATTTATATCTCATGTATGTTTTGAAAATTATGCCACTCTATTTATCAATTACAGTGACATTATTTTATTATAAAAAGTTCAAATATAATATTGAAAGATATTTTTAAGAGATGCCGGTATTTCCATCAGCTACCTATGTGTTCTAACTCACTGAAGTGCCACTGAACTAAGGACTATGTATCTCATAAGAGTTTATGGATATGACTTTTTGCCTCACCTTCATAAGTAATTGTAACCATCTTAACCTCTTTGTTCTCGGATTCATGTGTTCTTTCTTTGGGAAGGATATCTTTAGCCATTTGCTGTATCTAAACCTTGCCTTGATGGCCGCCACACAGGAAGCCTTCCAGTGGTAGACCATTTGACCTAGCTCCCCTTAGCCAGCTGAAAATGGCTGATGGAACATGACAAATGTGGATGAAGTCTGTAGGTTTGAGTTTGCTGTATTTCTTTCCATTAAATGAGCTTCTTGTTGAAGGAAGTGTGTGACAAGGGATATCATAGTAAGTGCTAAGGTGTTCTGTTAAATCCACTCAGGAAACAGCCTAGGAAGGAATGGTAAATCCTCCTTAAACATCTTTCAGTTTCTATGAGGATCAATTTATCCATTTTCCGTGTTATAAGAAGTCCAGTATAACCTCCCTGGCTCCACTTGCTGGTTGATCGCTTGGGGAGTAACAGGGGCTCAGAACTGAAAACTTCTGAGCCCAGCAATGGTAGTAGAGAAGTCAGTTACAGATGGGGAGGGAGCACATGTAACTGAGTTAACAGTATCTTTGAGTCTATTATCATTTGAACATGGGTCCATGAGCAGACACCAGGGTGGTAAGGTAAGCACATTGACTGATGTCAGTAGATGTTTTACTCTGCCCAGATTACTAAGAGCCTTCTCCATAGTGGATTCCGTAAAGAAAAAATTAATGTAGGATACTGTGTCATCGTCTTCTGTATCAGTTCTGAGGGGTACATCTGAATAACTCTCCCTAGACCACTATCATCAGTCTTTTGTTTTGCTGGCCATATGACCATGCCATGCGTCATTTCCTCAGGCTGCCTCTTCTGCCATGCACAGTATGGCTTGGTGAAATCCCGGCTGCTGAGGAATCTCTTTTCACTCTGTCAAGGCTAGCTTCTCTAAAGTGGTCCTGAAGACACACTTGTCATAGCTAGCATCAAGTGTTATGCAGTTCATTTGCGAACTAGACCCACCACAATTCTTCTCTATCAGCTGCTCATTGATAACACACCACAAGGTGACTGGTGTAGGATGAAGAAGAGAGATTGTGTGTAGTACCAGTTACCATGGACATCTGAACCCCTTGCTCATGAAGCATGTTTGGGATCTCCAACTGTTTGGTCCAAGTTCATTCAACAGTGAAATGCTCTTATATCCCCCTTATGTTATATGATTTTCAGACAATACCTAGTTCATAAAGTGTGGTTTGGGTTAGCATAATCAGCATCTACTAGTGAATTAAGGGCAGCTTTTTAAATCGAGATTAGCTATTAGTCCAAATCTTTGTGACAGAATCATTAGAGCCTGGCACTCTGAGCTCTGCCTGACAAAAATGTCACCTAGCACCTCTTTGCCATCTATTTTTTCAGAAATAATTGTGGGTGCTGGACCTTTAAAAGCCAGAGCTCGGTGATTTTTCACCATGGGTGTATATTTCAGCCCCCTTGCCCCCAGACTCCTCTCAGAACTCCAGTCTAGATTACTTAGGGCATATGTCGAAGCAACAATGTGGCCTCTGCTGCTTCCAAAATTCAGAGGCCAAGTTTTGTGAGGTTGCAAGTTACAGAAACTTATCACAAGGTGTGGAAGATGTGTTTCAGCAAGCCCAACCCCTGGGTTTATAATATTTCACCAGAGAAGAATGCCCGTGGACTCTAGTGGGACTTTATCCACTGTCCTCTAGCGTTTGTCTTAGGATGCATCTTGGATGCTTGATGCTTCCTGGTCACTAAATCCAGCTGCTGCATTGTCACACGCAGTCCAGCTTGTCTCATGTGGGTGACGATAACGATTTCTCCAGATTTTATTATTGTGAGGAAAGAGAAGCGTGTAAAGTATGTTGTCCCTGCAGTGAGAAGGCACACTGCTTCCGATTAGGTGACAGGAGCTGTTTCACAAAGAAATCCTGGTAGCTGCATGAGTGGAGTGGAGTGGGGTGGAGTGGAGTGGCTGTGGTTACAAGTTTAGCGTGAATGGCACTAGATTTTGATGTTACGGTAAGATTACGTCTACATTCATCCACAGACCCAGCTACACAGCGGTTTGCTCTAATAAACAGTTTACTAGGCATATGGCATGATCCCCTACTCCTATTCTTTTCATTTTCTGATAGTGTCACTAACATCTTAATCCCCCTGTAGATGCATCTTGTCTTCCCTGTCCTTGCTCCATGAAGAACTAGTCTGGGTGTTGCTCCACTTTTACAGCAGTGCAGTTCTACGGCCCCTCGAGTCTGCCTTTCGGATTGGTCTTTGGCCTTATTTGCTCTAGGATTAGCTAAACAAGGGCCCCTTAAAGCAGATAAACTCTCTGAGAGCCCACCTTTGTCTTACTGGAGCCTTTAAGACTTTCCTTTTGGCCTTTCATTTTGTGTGTCCCTTCAGTCATTAAAACTCCTAGTCATGAGGGAAGCTTTACTCTCTCTTCCATGATGGTGCCTGTAGTATCATCGAGATGCCACAGCTCCCAGTCCTTCCCCTGTGCCACACTTCATCCGTGCTGCTGGCAATGACAACACCATCCTAACGAGTGGCCCACCAAGGTCCAGCTCTTGGTCACTCTTCTCAAGCCTTGGCAACAAAATCGAATTCTGTTTAGACTGCCTGGACAGCCTTAGGCCGTTCTTCTACCCATAACTTTTGCTGCTCTAAGGATCCTAATGGTAAAACAAGGTAACTCTCAATGGGGACCGATAAAGGGCAGGTGTCTACTAGAGCATGGTTAGACATGGAGACCAGAAGAGAGCTGTTCTGAAGCTAGCTGTTTCTGGTGCTCTGCCCACTAGTCTGAAAGGCAAGGGACCAAGCAGTCACTGGAATTAAGTAGCAAGGACTTGAGTGCTGACCTTAGTGGGCCTGCGACATCAACGTACAGACTCTTCACCTTCCTGTGTCCCCCTGGTGCCTCACCGTGACTCAGTGTCACCGTGAGTGAGGAGAGGGGAGCCTACAGCAGCAATAGAAATTAGCGTTCTGTAGGAGCAGCATGGAGGAAAGAAGCTAAGAAAATGACCATGGGCGCCAAACCCTTTAACTAGTGACTTTTCATCAAAGTCTGCTTTTAAGGATATTATTCTGGATAGGAAGACTTTGTTGCCGTTCTCTCTGGTGCCAACCATCATTGTTCTGCTGTATTTAATAATCATATCAGATATTAGTACCCGTATCTGATTCCTGTGTTGTATACTTGAAACTTTTCTGTGCTGACTATTGTGAGTCGCGATAGGCCAGCACTAGGGAGCATTATATATTCCTGCCACAAATATTCTAGGTTAAGAAAGCAAGCACTTAAAAAGATGTCTGGAGTGCTTGGAGTAGTACTACTATGAATACACGGATATATAAATGTCTTCTATGATTACTGTATAAGCTGAGTACTTGTCAATGTAGGACTCAGGTCGTCTAGAGGACACAGATCAGCCGTGGGTTAGTTGCATCGGCCCAGCAGTGAGGACTTGCAGGTAGTACCTAGCATTTGTGAGCTGTCACACTGCACAGCACAGTACGAGGTCCTTTCCATGGATTACGTAATCAGTGCAAACTCTGCTTTCTCACAGCAGCAAAAGGAGGTACTCACATCAGCAAGTCTAGTAGCAGAAAATGTTTTTAATGAGAGTCTTTGCATTAAAACATAAGTGTTTCACGTGTGTTTAACGATGTGTCGTTAAGTGTAAAGACAGACCCCTTTTTTCAGGTAGGAGCTTAGGTTTAATTTTTAATTTTTCTAACCTAAATACACCCTTAAAGCATCATCTATAATTATATACATTTTTTAGTTTTTCAAAAAG